CCAGGACTGCCAGTGTCTTGTAGAAGAAAGCTGGGGAGGGGCTTTTCACCAGGGAGTGTAGTGATAGGATGAGGGATAACAGTTTCAAACTGAAAGAGGGTAGAGTTGGGTTAGATATAAGGAAGAGATTCTTTACTGTGAGGGTGGTGAGACCCTGGCCCAGGTTGCCCAGGGAGCTTGTGGATGCCCCATCCCTAGAAGTGTTGAAGACCAAGTTGAATGGGGCTCTGAGCAGCCTGGTCTGGTGGGAGGTGGGATTGGAACTGGATGATCATTAAGGTCCCTTTCAACCCAAAGCATTCTCTCATTCTATGAAAAGTAACCTGCTGAGTTGTTCAGCCCGTGTTTGGAGGCAGTTGCTGGAGGGGTTGGTTGGCTCTGGGTGCACACAGCCACCGTGCAGTGCTGCGTGGCCAGGAGGGACGTGGCCGGGTGATGCCTCCCTGTCCTGTGTGGGGACAAGTGCCCCTTGCCCAGGACAGCCCTGGCCCAGATGCTGTGTGGTCAGCGGGGATTTCCAGACCTGGTAAGGCAGCAGACACTCTGTTCACTCCCTCCCAGCAAAGCCACGTGAATCCAAAGGTTGGGTGGTGTGGAGGTGGGAATGTAGGAGTGGTGGCACCCTCTGGGCTCCAGGTATCCACCACACCAGGACACGAGCCACTGCAGGGGAGATTGCCCTGGGCAGAGGGAATGCCCTGGGGGTCTGAGCCCCGGCCAGCTGGCAGCAGGGCATGGCACAGGCATCCAGCTCAGTGCAGCTGCAGAGAGCTGTGACCTGGGACAGTCCCACCTGGGGACTGCTGCAGCCCTGATTTCACAGGGTGGCACCTTCAGGGCACAGAGTGGGACCTCTGAAGCCCCTGGCCACAGGGAAAGGAGCCCTGGGAAGGTCACGTGCAATGAGGGCTCCCCAAAAGGCATTTCCCTCCCAGTGTTGCTGTGTTGGACTCAGCTGAGACAAGGCAGCTGGGAACTGAGTCTTTCCATCGAGCTGACCCCTGGGGTAGCCCTGGCAGCCTCTTAGCAGGGAGCTGAGCCTGCAGGAAGCAGCTTGGCCACATCACCCAGAGAGAGCAGGTGCCAGCACCCCCTGGCAGTGCCCACCCCAGAGCAGGGTGCCAGGGCTCTGTGCCTGGGACGATACCCTGTGTGTGCTGCAGAGCCTCCAAGGTGCCCAGAGCCATGGGAGGCTGCTGGTGGCACCGGGCACTGCGAGGACCTGGGTCCTCTCCACGGCCCTGGCTCTCCTCAGGGTGCCCACGTCTGCAGGGACCCTCAGCCCAGGAGCAGCCCGACGGTGGGTGGCACACGGGGAAGGGGTGACTGCAGTCCCAGCTGGACTGTGAGGGTGTCCTGGTCCTCTTGGCCTCTCCTGTCTCCCCTGGCAAAGCTCTGGCAGTGCTGCTGAGCCCTCCCTGGCAGGTCCATCCTCCTCCAACGGGATTTTCCTTCTCGTTGAAATAAAACTTATTATCAAGGCACCTACCACTCTGTGTGTGATTTCAGGGCACTGGATGCTCTCAGCTCTTGTAGGCCTTGTAGAGACTCAGAATGGAAATATGAAGACTGGTGAGAGCAAAGAAAGGACTAAAACCTCTGTGTGTGTGTGTGTACGTCACGTTTAACCCAGCAGGCAGCTCAACCCCACACAAACCCCTGCTCCTCCCTGTCCCCAGTGGGGTGGGGGCGAGAATTGAGGGGAAAAAAGTCAAAGTCATGGGTTGAGATAAAGACAGTTTAACAGGAAAGAAAAATAAAGAAAAGGAAGGGAAATTTTGTTTAAAAAAAAAAAACACAAAAACAAACAAACAAAGAAACAAAACAAAACAAAACAAAAAAAAACAAAAACAAAACAAAGATAAAGACAGTTTAATAGGAAAGAAAAATAAAGAAAAGGAAGGGAAATTTTGTTTAAAAAACAAAACAAAACAAAACCAAACAGAAAATAATTAGTCTATACAAACCAAGTGATGCCAATGCCATTGCTCACCAGCCACCAGCCGATGCCCAGCCGGCTCCTGGCCAGCTCTGCTCCCAGCTCACATCCCCAGCAGGACATCACGCCGTGGGGAATATCCCTTTGGCCAGGCTGGGTCCTGGCTGTGCCTCCTCCCAGCTCCTTGTGCCTCCCAGCCTGCTGGCTGCTGGTGTGAGGCGCTGAAAAGTCCTTGACTCGGTGTAAACGCTGCTTAGCAACAGGTAAAACATCAGCGTGTTATCAACACTGTCCTCATCCTAAACCCAAACCGCAGCACTGAGCCGGCTCCCAGGAAATCTTACCCCAGCTGAAAGCAGGGCAGGGGGAAAGCACAAGGAAGGGGGGGACAAGGGTTAAAAGGAGAGGTGTGTGCTCACTGCTGCAGGGCTCCGGTGTGTGACTGCATTCAAATGAGGAGGAGGAACTAATTGGCTGAGGATAAGGTGTCAGGAAGACACCAAACTGAGCCGTAGATACACCCGCCAGATAAGACACCGGTAGTCCTGAGTGTCGCCTAAGGCTGCCGAGGTGGGAGGCAGAACCAGGGCAAAGCTCTCCAAGCAGTCCCCGCTTCCAGAGGATACCAAAGACAAGTCCAGGCTGGGTTTGGCGGTGGCAGCGGAGGAGCCCAGAGCCAGCAAGGACCCCGAGCGATCCCCCTGGGCACAGCGTCTGGGTGCTGGGGCTCTGGGAGCACAGCAGGTGAGCTGACCCTCCTCACCGGCAAATGAAGCCAGCCCCCCTGCTCACACCTCCCGCCGAGGGGCTCTGCACTTTCCCACCCCCTCCCTTTGGTGCCGTGTTTCTTTTGGTCCTCCTAGACCTGGTCCTTCCCAGCAGTGCTGTGCCAAGCCCGAGGGGTGCAGGACCTGAAGGACTGTTGAGATCCCATCAGATCCCATCACAGCTGTCCCAGGCAACTGACCCCTCCTTCCTCCAGCCCCCACTCTTTATCCTACTATTGTTTTTCCCAGGGGAAGATCTGATTATCCTCCAGGACTTCTGAGCTCCACAGCTTGAGATAGTGTCAGCCTGGGGACAGCTTTTGGAGCTAACTCCTTGCAGCTCTCCTTGACTAACGTTGCTCCCAGCTGCCCATGTCCAACCACCTTTCTCCTGTGTTTGGGTTTTCAGGAGGCTTCACCACAATGTTCACTCACGAGAAGCACTTCACCAAAGCTGTTGTCGGGGCACTGGTTGTGCTTTCCATCATTGCCCTTGTCCTCAGCCTGGTGAAGATTGAAGATGTCACCCTGCCACCCACGGTCAAGGTAAGACCAAAAGAAGGTCCTTGAGCATCACTGCAGAGATCTGTCACCTTGGGCAGGTGCTCAGAGGTAAGAGCTTGTCTTTGGGGTTAGGAGGTGAAGGAGGGTTGGTAGGAACTGCCTTGTAGCAGCTGGGTGGGTGTTTTCTCCCCATCTCAAGATGCAGGCAGAAGAAATACAGCCTGGCCACCTTGAAGCCAGGGGGGGAAGCCCCCTCTGAAACTAGTCACCATGACATGTGGCTCACGAGTTTCGGGGAGATTTCCTTGGAGCAGATGAGTAGGGCAATGCCCTGCCCTGCTCCCTCTGCCCTCCCAGGGCACCTCACCGCAGGGTGGGACACCTCCAGGTGGCCTTTGTTCCTGCCAGCACCCACCACCACCCTGTCCCACCCCACTCACACAACAGCACGAGCACCGTGGCTCCTGAGTGTGCCTCCTCTGCAGCTTGGCATCCCAGCCTGGCCACTGGAAGAGGGTTGGCATAGTTTTAGGGTGAGGTAGAGGGCTTTACAGGGGAGAGGCGCACAGCTGGGTGCTCCTGGACTGGGGCTGGTGTGGCCGTGCCAGTCCCTGCCCAGGCAGGGTGCAGCCACGGGGGTAGCAGAGAGTGCTGGAGATGAGAGAGTTGCTGGCCCCAAGGTGGGGCCAACATAGACACAGAAGATATGTAACCAAGAAAGAAAGTAAAAAAGCATGAGGAAACAACCAAGAAAATGTTTGTGTGAGCTGGCATTGCTGCACAGTCCTCAGGAGAGGGCATGGAGAAGTCCCTCTGTCACCATGAGAAACATCCATGCTGAGGCCACACACTGTCACCGCCCTGCTCTGCCACAGTGCAGGTGGCTGTGCCTCAGAGAGGTGTTTTCTGGGGCTCCCTCTGGCCCCACCACCCCGGCAGTGCCTGTGGCTTTGGGGGAGCACGCTGCTGCTCCTCCCAGCAGTGTCATGTCTTGGTTTTTCCTTCCAGTATGGGATGGTGTTTGATGCGGGCTCGTCCCACACCTCCCTGTTTGTCTACGAGTGGGATTCAGACAAGGAGAACGACACCGGTGTGGTCAGCCAGACCTTGTCCTGTGATGTCCAGGGTCAGTATCCCCCTGCCGTGGTCTCAGTGCTGCCCTGCGTGTCCGTGGGGTGAGTGGGGTGACCTGGCCCTTCCTCCTGCTCGCCTGCCCACGCTGAGCACTTCTGTCCATCGGGCTGGCATGATGGGGAGCCCTGGGTGCAGGCAAGGTGGTCCCTGACTCCCCACTGGCTCTGCTCATGGTTGGAGGGCCCTCAGCACCATGCAGTGCCCACGTGCTTGATGGGACAGAAGCACTTTGGTGTTGCTCTGGATTTTCTTTCCTCCACCTTGGCCTGCCTCCAGCTGCCCAAGCTGCTGACCTGGCTGGGGAAGCTCTCACCCAAAGAGCTGGGGACACTGCTGAAGGCATGGCAGACGTGGGGAAGCCATAGGAGAGGGACATGAGCTTGGGTTAGTCACATCTTGGGGGACCTGGGGACCCTGGAAAAGCACCATTTGTTGCTAAGAGGTGACAGACCTCGCTGCCCTGTGCCCTCTTGCTCCCACATCCCTGTCCTCAGCTGCTCCCAGCTGTCCCTGCCTGACTCTCTTCCAGGACAAGGCATATCGAGCTATGCCAGTGATCCCTCAAAAGCTGGTGATTCCCTAAGAGACTGCCTGGAGGAGGCCCTGAGGGCTGTTCCTGCTGCCAAACACAGAGATGTCCCAGCTTACCTCGGAGCGACAGCGGGCATGAGGCTACTGAGGTATCGAGGTGGGGGAACGGAGCAGTGGCTGAGCCACAAGCACCCACTGCCAGGACAGTGTCCTGCACAGGGCCAGGCTGCCAGAGCCCTCAGCTCCCATCCTGCCGTGAGCCAGAGACGGGGGGCTGGGAAGAAGGCAGCCTAGTGGGGACACACGAGTGGCTGAGCTGCCCTGAGCGACTGGCCCTGGGGCAGAGAGGCTGCTCAGAGGTGTCTGTTGGCATCCTGGGACCCCATGTCCCAGCATGGTGCTGCACGCCCAGTTCCATGCAAGAAACGCTTCTCAGAGCTCTTTGTTTGCTCTTCAGTATCCCTTAAACACAAGGGAGCTGAGATGCCAGCAGGGCACGTGCCATCTGCCCAGATGGGTGGGTGCTGGTGAGTGAGAGGGGCAGAGGCAGGAGGCAGTGAGGTGCTGTGGGACCTGCTCTTATCTACCCTCAGCCCACATTAGTTCTCTTCAAATGTCAACCTCCATTTCATGGTTCTTGGTTTTATAGTTGGAGATATCATTGTTTCCGTGCCCTGGCAATCAGACCCCGTCCCTGGCAAGGAGCTGGCTCACAGCCTGAAGGTTACTTGCTTCAGAGACTGAGCACGTGGCAGTAGCCCCATGACATCTTCCCCACTCAGAGGTCTGGAACCAGGCTGGCACCCTCCCAAAACACCCACTCGAGCTCAGCAGCCAGCCCTGGCTTTGGTGCAGCTGGTGGGTGATGTTCAAACCTGGGGTCTGTAGTACAACTGCCTCTGGCCTCCAGCACTACACAGATACTCAGGCAGGGAAGAGTGGCCTGGCAAACCTCTGCCTGACTGTGATGAAGCTGCACTGGAGCAAAGAGGCTGCTCTTGCTGCTGGGTTTGTGGTGCCAGGTCTAGAGAGCTGGGATTTGCAGCTCTGACAAGTTACGTAGCAGGAAACATCATTTCATATCAACTGCTTGTTGCAAATACTGGAATATGTGGAACCAGGAAAAAATCCAGACTCTTTCCTCGTGTTTTCTCTGCAGTATGGATGTAGGTGGGTACGTGCCCTGACCTTTGAGTCCTTCCTAGGGAACAGAACAGCTCGGCAGCAGAGCAGGTCCTGGCTGCGGTCGCTAACACGATGCAGGAGTACCCCGTGGCTTTCAGGGGGGCTCGGATCCTCACAGGAGAGGAGGAGGGGGCTTATGGCTGGATCACCATCAACTACCTGCTGGACTCCTTCACTAAGGTGGGAGGAGGGTGAAGCACTCACTCCTTTGCTCACGCAGCTTTCCTGATGTTTTTTAAGCTGGAGGAAAGGTCGGGGTCTGCAGCTCTGGGGAGTGACCGTGGGGAAGCAGCCAGTCACCCTCTGGCTTGCCTGCAGTGCAAGGGGAGGAGAAATCAGGATTGGGGGTGCCTCTAGAGCTAAGGGCACAGCTCCATGTGGACACGGGGTCCCTTGGGGACAGCGAGGTTGGCCGTGCAGCCTGGTGGGCACCATTTGCTCCTGCTGGCCCCTGTCTTGCTGCCCTGGGAAGGTCTGCGCGGTGCTGGGAGACCCCAGTTGTGGTTCAAAGCGACAATCTGAAGGGAATCTCTTGAGCCAGGCCTCTTTCCTGCCACCCTCTACCCCAGCTGAGAGCGGTGGTGGCACCGTGGGGCTCCTGTGCAGGCTGCTGGAGGATCTCTGTCCCTCCCCTTGCACCTGCAGCTCTGCAGAGCTCTTCAGGAAGGGCAGCCCTGCCAAGCCAGGTCCCCACCTATGCTTTGGTCTGGGGACTGGTGGCTCAGAGCCACGTGAGCCAAGAGCATGTTGGCACATCTTGACCATCAGACAGTTCAATCTCTGTTTTTTCTGGGTCGAGTAAACGGCCAGGCTGGCTGGGCAGGAAAGGCAGGGAGGCCTCACGTAAGGAAATAACTGAATACCCACTGGATTTGGTAACAAAACCCCATGCCATGGGGTGAGAATTTTGCTCAAGGCAAGCAAGCCCAGCCGTGCACTGCTCCTCTTCCTCTCCTCTCTTGCCTTGACAGTACTCCCCCAAAACACACACCTGGCTTCGTCCAGAGGCAGCCAATATTTTTGGGGCGCTGGATCTTGGAGGAGCATCCACCCAGATCAGCTTTCTGCCCGAAGGTTCAGGGGCAGACTGGAATGAAGCCTCCGAGCTCACACTCTATGGGTATAAGTACAACATCTACACACACAGCTACCTCTGCTACGGGCAGAACGAGATGCTGAAGAGACTGGCAAAGGAACTAATTGCGGTGAGTGGGGATCTGGAGGGTAATTGGACTCTGGCCTCATTACACCGACCACAGAGTTGCTAATGCATAAAATGAGAACGGGCAGAGAAGCCTCAGCAGGGACTGAGACCAGGTACAGACTCCTTGGAGCATGGGTAAAAGTTTTTCTCCAAAAGAATGGTCAAATATTGGCACAGGGCTCAGGAATGCTGTGGAGCTGCCATCCTTGGGGATACTCAGAACTTGATGGCACAGAGCTCTGAGCAACCCAGTCTAGTTAGTCATGCTTTAAAGAGAGGTTTGGAGCAGGAACCCTGTAGCTCCCCCTGAACCTCAATCATTCTGTGACTGCAAGGGCCTGAGGAAAGAGAACCAGGGAACTCTCTCAGGCCATTTTTTGGAAGGTCAGAGGGGAAGAGGGTCTTCATGGAGCTGCACCTTCCCAGCAGCCTTGGTGAATCAGAAGTGTTTGTTCATGCTGCACAGCCAACACATCCCAGGTGGTGTCCCTGGTTGGGGCTGGAGCTAGAGACAGAGCTAGAGTGGGGGTGGAGAGGGCTTTGCATGCCCCAAACCATGATCCTACTGGATAGGGGAGAGACATGCCAGGCCCCTGACATGGGCCTGCCTCTGGGGGAGAGGAAATGGGACAAAGCAGAGGGAGGTTTGGTGTTGAGCTCAGGCTAGGATCTGCAGACAGCCAGCCAGACCAGGAGAAAACCATGGGAGGGTCTGTCCCTGCTGAGGAGCTGGGACGTGCCTGTGGCTTTGGGGGAGCACTGGGTCAATCCTGCTGCCCAGCATGCCCCAAGAGGCTTTGGAGGAGGCTGCAGCCTCTGCCCTTGCCGTTCCCAGGAGTCACCCTCCAGCACACTTGTCGACCACCCCTGCTACCCAAAAGACTACCATGAGACCATCTCGCTGTCCTCCTTCAGCACCAGCCCCTGCACGAACCGCAGCGACCCCCGCCTGCCCCCGGGTGACAGGAGCGTGACCCTGCAGGGCAGGGGCAATGCCAGCGGGTGCCTGGCAGCTCTCAAGAAGCTGTTCAACTTCTCGGCGTGTGGCCAGAGCCAGGACTGCACCTTCGATGGTGTCTACCAGCCCCCGGTCCGAGGGCAGTTCATTGTAAGGCAAATCCTGTCCCTCCTCAAAGGCAGAGCGTGTCCCCAGGTGCTGCGGGGTCCCCCCCTGCCCCGTGGCACTGTCACCTCCCTGCAGGAGAATGGGGGCAGGGAGCTCCCAAATTACCACTGCCCCAGAGCACAGCAGGGATTGCTGCTGGGTGGCTTTCCAGCCAGCTCTCCAGATGAGACCATGTTCAAACCCCAGGTTTTTGGTAAAAATACCCCAGCAAGGCTCTGCCTGTGCTCGATGTGCTGCTGTAGGCAGCAGGCACCCCCCCTCCCCTTGCCCCCCATCTCTCCTGGGACATGGGCAACGATGCTCTGGGACACAAGGATGGGGCAGACCCAAAGGACAGACCCCACGTCCTTCAAGGGAGATGGGGGCAGCCGCCGGGGGAGGTTTCCCCATTTCAGCTCAGCGTCACTTCTGCCTCTTGCCTTCCAGGCCTTCTCTGCCTTCTACTATAACTTCAAGTTTCTCAACCTGACCGAGGGGCAGTCGCTGGCCACTGTCAGGGAGAGCATCGAGCGTTTCTGCAGGAGAAGCTGGGAAGATGTACGTTCCCCACGATGGGGGGCTGCAGGGAAGCTTCACAAGCAACGGGGTGCTGGGGTGGGGGAAGAGGAGCAGGAGCCAGGGTCATTCTGCAGCCCCTCTTTGGGGACCCTCCTTGCTCATGCAGCTTTGGAGAAGGGGCAGCCAGGGCAGGTGAAGGCAGCAAAATCTCCTCTCCAGCACAGGACCTGGGGGTGAAGGTGGGTCTGGAGCGCTGGAGGATGGTGAGAGGAGAGCCAGCTGCTGGCACCGCTCTGGAGATGCATCAAATGGGGATGAGTAAGGCCAAGAGGTGTGCCAGGACCACCATGGAGCAGAGAGCAGTAGCCCCTTGCATGAGGAGGCTGAGATGGGAGAGTCTGGGTCAGAAGGAGCTCAGATACATCTCTCTCTTTTCACATGGAGTGTAAAATCTCCTCAAAAGAGTCACCCTGCGTGGTCAGGCCCAACATACCTGCCTGTTCCAGAAGCCTTCTCCTGGATGATGGTGACCGTAGAGCCATTGCCTCTTGCACAGCAGTCGTCAGGGCATTGCCCCTGCACAGAAACTGCCTGCAAATAACTCCCCTTCCTCCCCAAACACATCCCCACCCCAGCTGTCTTCCAGCTACCCTGAAGAGAACCCCGAGCGACTGCCCAAATACTGCACCAATGCCAACTACATCCTCACGCTCCTCCTCGACGCCTACAAGTTCAACGAGAGCAGCTGGAGCAACATCTTCTTCCAGATGAAGGTAGGTGGCCAGCCCAGCCCGGGGGCAGCAGAGGCAGTGCCAGGGGCAGGAGCTGCCCGCGCTGG